TTGTACTTGTACAGGGTTAATCTCGTCACCACGTTGTAGATGCCGTTGACATTGCACTGTTACTTGGACCGTCGATATGACGCGTCAGTAACCTTTGCGGTGTAGGGTCCACCGCCAACCACACGCAAACGTACGCACAACAACAGGATGGTATTTGCTTAAATAAACCACGCACTCAACAGCAGAACGGTTAGCCGCAAATCGTACGGTTCATCGCATCGCGCACGGGCTTGCCGTCGCCGCCGGCAATGCGGAGACACGACGTGGCGCTGTACAGCGACATGATGTTGGTCGTCACGGAGAACACGAGCGCCGCGACGTAGCAGACAACAATGATGACAGCCGCCGACGCGTGCGTGCCGCCGCGTTTCTTGAGCCACTGGACAGCGGCCTTTTGGTGCGGCAATAGCGGTAGAAACGCCAGGGACGCCAACTGCATCCCGTATGCAATCAGAAATGTATACGTGACTTGCCACCGCACGTGGTTTGTGTCGGTCGCGAGGTCGTCGGCCTCCGTGTCAAAGAACGAGTCGACGTACTTGTAGACCATGGTCGCCACCGGGTCCGAGAGGTTGACGATCGACGTAATAAGCGAGTGCACGGCGCCTTCGTTGCCCACGTCCGCGATCTCGACGGCGCAAAATGCCGAGATCACAAAGCGCACCGCGCCGGGGATCGTGTCGGGGGTCGTGACGCCCATAAAGAAAAATTGGTTCCGGACCACGTCCCAGGTTGTACACAGCATGACGGACCCGTCGATGACGACTTCTGCGATCGTTGCAATCGCAATCGCGCGGCGCCAGTTCATGTTGACGCCCCAGCGGCCGACAGCAAAGATGCAGGCCGACATGAGCAGCGTGTTGAGCACGTCAAAGCCGGCACTAACGAGCGGCTCGACATGGGCCCACTGCATCGGGATGATCGCGGCGGCGGTCGCGTAGAAGTTGTAGCAAAAATTGCTCAAAAAGCGGAACGCGCAGATTTGCCACGTCACGCGCAGTGTCAAGAGGCGCCAGAGCGTGCTCACGTAGTAGCGCAGCATTGGGCGAAACTCGCGGTCTTCTTGAACGAGAAAAATGACACATAGAATCGCAAACGCGCACGGGAGCAGCATGATGCCGTACAGCACGTTAATGCTCAGCGCCCAGTCAAAGCTGCCGCCAAATTCGTGCCCGTTGAGACAAAAGCCTGTAATGAGCGACGGCAAGAGCGACGCCGCGTACCGCGTGCCGTAGATCGCCGACTGGAGCTTCCCACGCGTCGCAATCGGCTCACGCTGGGCGTACTGAACGACCATGGCGTCGGCGGCCACGTCCGCTAGGACATAGCCAAAGCTCGCAATGCTCGAGAGGAGGATGTAGTAGAGCGCCTCGCTCTTCGCCGACATGTGCAACATCGCGACTTGGGCTTCCGAGAGGTCTGAGAAGTCACCGCCACGGACACGCGGAATGACGTCGTCGGTGAGGTTGGCCGCGAGGGCGCGCGGGAGGTACGGGTCGGGGAACGGCCGGAACGCGAGCCCACAGAGCGCGGCGATGCAGAGGAGCCACCCGATGATCATATACGGTTTGCGCTTGAGGCCAAAGAGCGGAAAGCAGTCGGTGAGGACACCAAAGAAGATCTTGAGCGACCACGAAATGCTCACAAGCGTCGTGTAGGACGCGACTTGGTACCCGGAGAAATTGAGGTACTGCGTGTAGACGGGGTACGCGAGCGCTGGCAAGAAACCGTAGATGACGCCAACGGCCACGTACTGCCCGAGGAGCCCGATGGCTTCGGCGCTCGTGAGGTCGAGCGCGCCGCCGGGCCGCAAGGCGCCGTTCGGGTCGTCGGTCTCGGAGATCTTGTGCGGGTAAAACTCGTAGCTGTCGTGGCCGCGGCTCGGGTACGCGGTGAGCGTCTCGGCGTACAGCGTGTCGTCGTAGAGCCAAATGCCATCGTTCGACTTGGCCGACGGCTGCATCACGCACGGCAAAAGGCAAAGTGGATAATGATGGATGTGCACGTCCCACGCGATCAGACTTTTCTCAGGCGTGACAGGGTCGTTGCGCGATGTTGGCGCGCCTGATCAAGGGCATCCCGCGTACGTTGACGTCAGACGACGCGAGAATCATGCCCAAAGTCCAGGAGAAAACGACAAGGGGACTCGAGGGGCATCGAGAGGACCCGCCGTTGCGACTACATTGGCATGCAAAGACACCCCATGTCGCCCGATGACTCGCAATGACACAGTGACGAACGGACGCCCGTCATCAAGGGTCAATAAACAAGGGTTTGTATTCGACGTCGACGTCATAGACGTCATCATTATGGCCCACGGATCTGATCCGGGTCACCAGATGTTGCATCCCACGTCAATATGGGTGGATCATCTGATAATGACACACGAACGTTGCAGAACCAAAATGCAGTGTGACCTGACCAGGCACAGCTACCGCTGCAAAATATGTGCCTACCAGCACACATTTGTCGATATCCCTCGAGTGGGTGAAGCTATGACATAAGAGTGCTGGGTTTCTCTTGGGCGTTGAGCTATCTATCACTCGACATCACATGAAACCAGAAACCTCGAGAGATCTCGAATTCGAAGCCAATCGTATGGGTCGTTGCGAAGGCCGTGCTCTCCGACAAGGGTCAGGAGACATGCATTTGTACTAGTATGGACCCAGAAGGCCCTTGCCTTTGATGCGTACCGCCTGATATATGAGGCCAGTTGTGTAAGTGCGTCCGTGTGTCACTTTCTGGTTTTGTTGACGTCGAAATTGCATACCACGCTTGAACTCGCAAACTTGCCATATGCAGTTAAGCGTATACTAGTACTGTTTTGCAACCGAAGGCGCCATGCAAACCACCGGTTACTCGTTGGCACGCGCATTTCTCTCATTCTCGACAACCAAGTCTTTGCATGACCGCTGTGTCTTTGCATCTAGCGACGAAAAGCCGCGCGCCAACAGGCTTTTCAACCTGCAGCATTTGATTCTACAATGAAACCCTCTCTACCACAAGTACAGGATCATCCCAAGCTCATCGTTGTCCACATTTCGTCACGTTTGGAACATTGGCAATCGCAAGCAAAAACGTACTAGTATGTTCGTGACTCGTCTACTTCAAGCTTCGAACGCTCTGAATATCCGCATTGAGCGCTGCAATCCGCTTCTCCTCGGAGCGTACGTGGGCGTGCGGCAGCTTGGGTCCTGCGGTCGTGCCCCGGGGCGGCTTCATGCCGAGTTTGATCGTCGATACGTTGTTGCGCTTGCGCTCAACAACCCGGGGTGCAATGTCGGGAAACTGAACATTCTTTGGGATCGGCAGGCCCGTCTCGAGCTTGTCGCCGTCCAAGTCGACATAGTCGGGAAAGTTTGGGTCCACCTATAGACGGCCACATACATCAGATCTTTTGCAACCGCTGTCGCTTGCGAATCATACCCGCCGGTTGGACACGATGCTGTGGTGCACCGTGTTGGCTTGGGCCCCAAAGATGTCGGCAACGTTATTGGTTGCGATAAACGTCCGTCGAACAGCGTTCGGAATTCCACCGACAATGCCTTTCTGACTGTCTTCGGGGTTGGCGCCCTAGTCCCATCGGGTACGATGTGGTATCTTGTAAGCATTGTACCTTGATATCCTTTGTCTGCAGTGGGTAAAACGGGTGGTTCTTGAGCTCATACGGCTTCTTGGCATACGAAAGCGGATCGTCCGCAATTGGGAATCCGTTGACGACATATTCAGGCCGAAGATTGTCCCTAGCTCTCTTTTTTCACCCAAAATCCCTCGCAAACAAACTGTACGTGACGCGCTTCGTCTTGAAGCCAACATGGGTGATGTCGCTGCAGTCGAGAATATCCCGCTCTTTCTTGCGCAATTCATGCCAATGCGCCGTGGCGCCAGGGACATCGCTCTACGGCCTCATCACTCGACCGCCCTTTTTGTTTCAAACGTACGACGTTCATCGTGTCGCGGGGTGGGCGCGCATGCAGCGGTCGCATGCGCGTGCCTTCGATATCGTCGACTTGGTACGAGTCCCGGAGAAACCGCGGCGGGACTAGCGGCGCAGGCTCACACTGCGGCAGCGGGTACCTACACAAGAGCCACATCAAGGTCCTCGACTATACGACTTGCTCGTTCGTACTTGGGGTTGAGAGGATTAACAACGCGGTTGGTAGTAAAACCCGTGTGGGACGGACTCGACCCTTCGATCGGCAGCTGCTGGAACTGCGGGTTCGCGCCCTTGTTCCACTGCGACGGGTGCAGTTGGCGGCTGTGCGAGCCGCTCACGTCGGCCGTCGGTGGCTTGTGTGTGTACATGTACGGCTTCAAGCATGGCTTGGCGCCCGCGATGTCGTCGACGTAGTTGGTCACGCGGGGCATCGTTCCTGCAACGCCTGCCCAGAATAGGGTCGTTTATCCGGTGGGTAACCCTACCCCTATGGTGGTACCCTACCCCTATGTTGGTATTCTACATTGCTCCAGTGTAGCACGCTGTCTAGTCCGGAAAGGAAAATATTGACCACCAATATACGTGCCGAGTAGCCACAGTGTCGAGGGAGATAGCGTGTATCGAGTACAATCAGATGCACGTGTATTCTGTCCAAGGGCCCGACGCTATTGCCCCAAGAACGCCTCGAGGCTTGCGGTTTTGACCTGGAATTCGCTCGAGGACGCGACGTCGTCATCGATGGGTGCGGAGGCGGCAACGGGCGCCGTGACGCCCTTGTCCTTTTTGAAAAAAGTCTTTTTGGGCTTGTCGACCTTTTTCTCGGCTTTCTTCTCTGCTTTTTTGTCAGCTTTCTTCTTGGCTTCCTAGTCCAATTTCTTTATAATCAACATTTGCCAAACGTGAAAGACGTACATGAGCAGGCACGACCGTGCGCTTGACGCAAGCGATGAGTTGCTTCATGCGGTCGACCCGCTTTGCACTGGCCTCGTCCAAGATCCCTGGCATCTCTGAGATAACAGCACGTTCTGTGAACCTTCTCTTACCTTGGAGCTCGATCTCTTTGAGCTGCGCGTGCAGATCGTCGAGCGTCGCTTTTTTGGTCAAGATGTCGTACAGCAAGGTCATGCTCTCGAGGCATTTGGCCCAATCGTCGTCCGATCGAAGGCCGCTTCGACGCATCTCGCTCTCGTATTTTGAAAAGAACGTTCGCAGATTCTGCACCGCACGCATGATTGTCCCTCCACGTTGAAGGACAATGGAAACGCGTACCGTCGTATCGGTCTGCACGCGACTTGCCGCGATATCGCAATTGAACGGCGCCGTGCGCGCAAGAAAGCGCTTGGTATATTCTTCCACGCAGCTAGTCGATCCCGATGAGATAATGCATCGAGAAGAATGGATTCGTCAAGACCGGTCCAACGCCAGACGCAACACGCGGGCGTTGAAGAACGAGCTGCTAATCCACTGGCGAATGTCCGCGCCGTAGTCTTCAATGGTCGCCAGCAAGTTGGCAACCACGGGCTCGTCGTCGTCCCACTTTTTCCCGAGCCAGTGCGCTGTGGTCTCCTACGCCTCGATGAGGCGCGTCACGCACACGATGACGCACCGCTTCAAGGTCGGCAAAGATCTTGGAGACCACCAAGCTGCACACATCGACCGCGAGCTGGACGATGTCTACCATCGTTCTTTATAGAGTGGTGCCGAAGTGGCAGCGAGATGTACCGGCCGACGTCGCGTCCAAGAGGTCCCCGAGACCTGTCTGGAGCTTTTGCTTCTCTTCGTTTGGGTCGGCGGCACCGGGAAAAGCGATACCGTCAACCAATTCCAAGCACTTGGACTACATCGACGCGGTTGATACAAAGAACATCAGTTGGAGAATACCTGGAGAACGTCCGTGTCGTTGATGAACGAGCAGAGCGCTTCGATGTCCGTGTTGGCGAGATGTGCTGCAAAATAGTCCTTGCGCGCCGAGAGCTGCCGCATGAGTGCCGACAGGCATGTCTACGTCATCAAATGTCCATAGTTGTCACACAAAACGCAAAATAACACGAATAAAACGTTAAAAAACGTTAAAAAAAACACAGAAACGTGACGCACCCCGACAACTTTGGCCAAGAGGAGGCCGCCGAGCCATTCTTGGGCGATCGACACTTGGGAGCTGAGAATATTCATTATGTCGTTGGGACGCGTCGAGTGCAGTTCGCCGGCCGGCCCCACGATCGTCTCTTCGTCGCGGTTGTAAATGTTGGTCACCCACGTCGACACTTGGTCCTACACCAACGTTTTGTCATATAATTGTGTCATATCGACTATGTTGCATGTACAGAAATGCCTTCCAGGTACAACTTCATCATGAGACTCGCCGTGTTGTCGAGGATCTGCGACGGCGTCGCTTGCTTGTACTTGCCAACCTACGATGAGTCGCGATTTGTCCGACCCAATGCGACCATAATGGCGTACTTCGGTGTTGAAGTAGTCGACCCATTGAATGAGCTGGAGCTTTTGGCCGACGCCAAGATCGGTTTTTGAGCAAATCTTGGTCAACTAGGCACCACCCAGCTCGCAAGCGCCTTGTGAATCGCTCGCTCGTACGTGTTCCTCGAGTGCAGCGTTGTAGCCATCGGCAAACACTTGAACAGCATCAAGCTGTGGCGGAAAGCATCCAGCGACGTCGCGGTCGACACTCTCAAAGTCGAGGACGAGGCTCGAGGCTGCTTGAAGCATCCCGTTGAACGCCTAACGTACATGAAAGGTAGCGAATCGATATGAAAAATAGACGCAGCTGTGGCACCTCGTTGAAGGGCTTGTCCTTGGCTATCGCAGCAAACATGTCAAACACACGGGTCTTGAGCGACGTCTCGAGCTGGTCGCGGCAGAGGACATAGAACGACGGCATGGCTTCTTCGGGCACGGCCGCGAGCGTATTCGTCAAGTAGACTTTACCGGCGTCGATGCGCTTGCGTCGGCGTCTACAAAAGACAATATTTCCACAATCTGCAAATAAAAAATGCACTTTTCAAGCACGTCCAGCAGCTGAAATGCATCGAGAAGCCGCTTCTTGTCGAATTGAACCATTTCGATGCAGTTGATGACAATGGTCCACGCGCCGTTCAAGATCGTTTGGCCCAAGTACACGAAATATACCGTCAAGAAATACGTAATAATCGACCAGAAATCCACCGAAACGTAAAAATTGGCGGAAAGGATATCTTTTCGACGCCATCGATGCGCGACTGGATCGCTGCCAGCGCCTTGGGTACGTGCTTGCTACGAGCGCATGACGATGAAGCTCAAGCACAAGGCGGTACCTCGAGAACATGTCGTCTTGGTTGTCGTGCTGCGACGCGTGGAGCTACATATTCGGCGTCAAAGCGAGTGTGCCCAAGTCGTCCGTACCTGGTGGAGCATCTTTTGGCGCCACTCGTCGCAGGCATACCACTTGGTAAACACTGGTAGGAGCTCACCGAGGCTCGTCTGCACCGTGTACTGGAGCTCGTCGAGCTTGCGCGGCAGCTCTTCGTAGAGCGTGAGCTGGCTCTGGAGCTCCTTGAGGTTGCGCCGCGCGATGCTGACCTCGGACGCGACGCCTTCGTCGCCGAGCTCCTTGCGCATGCGCTGGCAGTTCGCGCCCATCTCTTTGAGCGACGACGTCACATCCTCGAGCGGCTCGTCGCAGTCGAGCAACGCCGACGCGCGCTCGATCTCGTCGATCTGCGCTTGGACAAAGCCGCCGAGCTGCCCTTTCGTGCTCTCGTCCTTCTGGAGGTAGTCGTACTTGATCTCTGCGAGCTGCTGCGTGTTGACGACGTCGCTCGCGTCCTTGAGTCGCATGCGGATGGCCTCGACCGGGTCCCGCGCCTGCGCCTCTAGCCGCGCGATCGTGCTGCTGCTGGTCGTCGTCGCCATGCTGCGAGATGGGATCTTTTGCAATCTTTCGCGTATCCAAATATAGAGGTTATATTGCAATATGTAATATTACGGGTTATCGATTTATCTGGTATATCGATTATGCACTTTAAGAGGTTTCGCGGACACAACCTCCCACACATCGATATATGTAAGCTAACGTGGTCCCATACTACATTACCCTTGCAGTCCACGCAAGCAAGCTCGCTGAGAACTGCAAATATATATTGGTCAGTCCATTGTCTCGACAGTCAAAGCTCACGTAGTTGACCAGCCACTGCTGCAAGGCCTTCAACACGGTCCAGCGTCATCGTCCACTCTCTGATTCACTGGCTGTATATTAATTCCACCAATCAACGCCGCTTCCATATTCCAATAGCCAATCACACGCCACGTCGTCGGACGCCAGCATATTCGCTGCCATGGGCAACCCCAAGCTCGAGCCCAACGCGTGGCTGGTCGTGCTCGACCTCGAGGCGACCTGCGGCCTCGACGTGCCATGGTACGAGAAGGAGATCATCGAGGTCCGCGCCCTCGTCGTCTCGGTCGCCCAGCACACGGCCATCGCCGAGTTCCACGCGTACGTCCGGCCGGCCACGTACACGGCGCCGCTGGACCCGCTCTGCCTCTCGCTGACCGGCGTGACGCAGGCGCAGGTCGATGCTGCGCTGCCGTTTCGCCGTGTCTTCGAAGACCTCGTGGCATTCTGCGCACCGTACGAGCGCCATGGGATCGTCGTCTCGGTCGACGAGTGGGACGTGACGACGATGCTGCCGGCGCAGTGCGCCCGGGACGAGGTGCCGCTGCCGGCCTTTTTCCGCCGCCACCTGACGCTCAAGAGCGTGTGCAAGGACGTGTTTGGGTCGACGCCCGTCGACGTGATTGCGATCTTGCTGCGCTTGGAGATGCCGTTGGCCCGGTACTACGATGGCGGGATCACGTACGGCCGGCACCTCGTCGCCATGGTGGTCCACCTGCTCGCGAGCGGTGTTATCTTTGAGACCGAGTCGCAGCGCAAGCACCGCGAGCGCAACGACTATAGCGTTGAGGTGGCAACGCTCTTGACGTGACAAGACCGTCCATCGATTTGCGTTTCTCTTCCATGCAAGCGTGCCTTCGTATGTGTTGGGTACATTGCACACATTGTCTGGAGAGGCATGGCCAATGTTGTCTCGAGTCGAGCAACGATAGTACGTCGTCCGATGCTACGAGTCGTAGAGCGCTTCCATTTGACTTACATAGCAATGACAGGCTTGGACGCCATTCAACATACACTTGCGCCCCAGGTGCCACACGTTGTCCGTCATCATCCCAATAACAAACCATCATCAAAACGCACACATTGTCATGTTATCGTCATGGCCATGGTATACACCGAATGGACACTTGCATCGACGATGTTTACTTGCCCGGGTGCAGACCGAGCTGGCCCGGCGACGGCTCGCCCGTGACTTCGCCAAAGTACAAGGCGAACGTGGCCTTGAGCTCTTCAATCTTGGCGCGGTCTTCCATCCACGTCTGGAACTCGAGCGAGTTGGCGCGCTTGATGTCCCAGGGCTGCACGCCGCTGGCCGGCGGCACGTCCGTGCGCGACGAGAAGCCGGCCATGAGGCTCGACTGCACCTCCTTGGAGACGATCCAGTTGACAAAGAGCTTGGCCGCGGCCACATGCGGCGCCTTCTTGAGAATCGCAATGCGCTGGCCCCACGCGAGGTAGTCGGACGACGCGTTGGCGCCCGTGATCTCCTTGATCGAGCTCGAGTTGGTCGCTGGCGCCGAGCCCGCGACGCCGATCGCCTTGCGCTGCGCTGTCACCGCGAGGTCGGGCGTGTGCGAGCCGCGCTTGAACTCGATCTGCTGCGCCGCGAGCTTCTTGACCCAGTCCCAGCCGTACGCCTTGACGTAGCGGTCGTAGACAAACAAGGTCGCATCGTCGTCGTGGGGATACGCGGACGCGATGAGACCCGCGTACTTGGGGTCGGCGAGGTCCTTGGCCGTCGCGGGGGCCGAAAGCCCCTTCTTTTGCAATAGCGCCTCGTCGTAAAAGTAGCTAAACGTAAAGACCGCGTGCGAGAGCCAGTTGCCGTCCGGGTCCGTGAAACCCTTGTAGACGTCGCTGAAACCGTTGGGCTTGTACGGCAGGAGCTTGCCCTGCTTCTTCCAGCGCGGGTAGTCGTTGAGCGTCTGGAGCGCAACGACGTCCGCGACAAGCGAATTCGTCTCGAGCTGGTTGTCGATGCGCACGTTGTGGTACTTGCTGTAGTCGACGACCATGGTGAGGTTCATCTTGGGAAACGCGGCGCGGAAGGCGTCGGCCACGTAGTCTTGCTGCTGCGCGGTGTCGCCGCCGTGGTACACGACGAGGTTGCCGCCTTCCTTGAGCGCCTCTTCGTACAGCGTCTTGATCGACTTGGTCTCTTCGTCATTGCCCGACGGCGGCGCCTTGGTCTTGCGGTACGCGCTCGCGTCTTCGAGCAGGAAGAGCAGCGGGAGAAGTGCAACGAGGCGGAAGAGCTGCATGTTGGTCGTTGGAGTTGCTTTGGTCGATGCGAGGCAAAAGCAAAAGTGGGTTTTGGATCGGCTTGCGATCACACGTTCTATCGACAACGAGGAAGAAGGCGACGAACCGCATCATGGACATGTCGATGACTCCGTGCTAGGAAAAGATACAGGGTGGCAAACTCTATCCATCTGTGAGGCTGCCACGTGGAAAGCCAGAAGTTCGCCGCGTACACAAGCAGCATACAGTTACTTTGTTCCATGCGATACGCTTGGCGTGTCAGTGCGTGATAACGATTGGGAGTGATTGGGAAGGGTGGAGTGCATAGTCAGGAGATATTGAAAGACTGGTATCCAACGGACGCTCCAGTCAGTTCCCACCCATGGGTGACATGCGTACGGTCTAGTTGTGGTGCTGGAATAAGCGCATACGACCGAGCGCTGTCCAAAGAATTCTGACGACTCAGAACCGCTCGTTTGACACAAGCCACAACGAGCAGCGAGCGGTCATTCTTGCCACTTGCCTGGGCTTTTGGTTCTCGGAGTGTAGCACGCACAATGGCGCCTGTCGAGTCGGAAGTTGCTTCCTACGGCTGCAAGATAGTTTTTGTTGATAGTGTTTACGTAGAGTTGCATGGATGGCTCTCCAGTGCTGCAGTACATCAGATCGACATGCAATCAAAGAAATGAGGATCGTGGACCGCATTCAGAGACTGCGTCTACATGAGCTCTGAAAATATGTGGGTTTAACAACAGAATATGGTCTTACAAAGATGCGTCAAGTGTCTGCCGTCCTTGTTGCTACCGGGAACGTCAACGTCCCCGCACTATCATGCCAACTCGGAGCCCTCAAGCATGCGAGCTGCATGGCTTCCTGTATGCGCCATCGCACTCGAATACCGCGCCGAAACCGCACTGGATCTAGCACCATTCTGATTTTCCACGTGGCAAACGGACGTGGCACCACGGCTCTCCCTCGATCTTTTGTGACATTTTCAATCCTTTTCGAACACTTGGCACGATACCCAGTGTGCTCGGAGTCATCGACATGTCCATGATGCGGTTCGTCGCCTTCTTCCTCGTTGTCGATAGAACGTGTGATCGCAAGCCGATCCAAAACCCACTTTTGCTTTTGCCTCGCATCGACCAAAGCAACTCCAACGACCAACATGCAGCTCTTCCGCCTCGTTGCACTTCTCCCGCTGCTCTTCCTGCTCGAAGACGCGAGCGCGTACCGCAAGACCAAGGCGCCGCCGTCGGGCAATGGCGAAGAGACCAAGTCGATCAAGACGCTGTACGAAGAGGCGCTCAAGGAAGGCGGCAACCTCGTCGTGTACCACGGCGGCGACACCGCGCAGCAGCAAGACTACGTGGCCGACGCCTTCCGCGCCGCGTTTCCCAAGATGAACCTCACCATGGTCGTCGACTACAGCAAGTACCACAACGTGCGCATCGACAACCAGCTCGAGACGAATTCGCTTGTCGCGGACGTCGTTGCGCTCCAGACGCTCAACGACTACCCGCGCTGGAAGAAGCAGGGCAAGCTCCTGCCGTACAAGCCCAACGGTTTCAGTGACGTCTACAAGGGTTTCACGGACCCGGACGGCAACTGGCTCTCGCACGCGGTCTTTACGTTTAGCTACTTTTACGACGAGGCGCTATTGCAAAAGAAGGGGCTTTCGGCCCCCGCGACGGCCAAGGACCTCGCCGACCCCAAGTACGCGGGTCTCATCGCGTCCGCGTATCCCCACGACGACGACGCGACCTTGTTTGTCTACGACCGCTACGTCAAGGCGTACGGCTGGGACTGGGTCAAGAAGCTCGCGGCGCAGCAGATCGAGTTCAAGCGCGGCTC